CTGCATAATCTGAACAACTTCCAATGATAAATTTCCAAAACACAAGCATACATTTCGTGTATCCTTCAAATATCGAACAATTCACTTAACTATTTGCCAATGTTCCCAACCTGGATTGGACATAAATCTGGAAACAACTCCCACTGCATGGGCAATATCAAGTCTAGTATAAACCATTGCATATATCAAACTACCAACTATAAAAGTATATGCAACATTTTTCATCTTACTTTTATCTACCTCATTCATTGAAGAGTCCCTTTTAGATAACTTGAAATGTGCAGCTAAAGACGTAGAAACAGGTTTACAGTTAATCATATTGAAGCGCTCAAGAACTTTAGAAATATATTCATATTGATTTAATCAGCTTACATTGCTTTCTGTCTCTGTGGATGTGCATGTCAAAAATCTTTTTGGCTGGTCCAAGATCCGTGGTGGCAAAATGCTTCGACATATCAAGGTTTAAACGCTTGATTCCACTTAAATCATTGCTATCGACAAGCACATCATCAACATAAAGCAACAAAACAGTAAAATAATCATATGTTGAACCCTTGAAGTACACACAATGATCAAAATCACATCTAGAATAACATTCACCCGGCATAAAACTGTCAAATTTCTTATACCATTGCCTAGATGCTTGTTTCAAACAATACAATCCCTTTTTCAAGTTGCAAACTAAGTTAGGATTGGTTTTGTTCTCAAAACCTTCAAGTTGACACATATAAATTTTTTCATCAAGATCACTATACAAGAAGGCAATTTTAATATCAAGTTGTTCTAGCTCAAATTCAAGTTAGCAATCAAAGATAAAACGACTCTAATAGAGTTATACTTAAGAACATGAGTAAAAATTTCATTAAAATCAACACCTGATTTTTTTCCATAACTTTTCATCACAAGTCTGGCCTTATATCGCATAAGACCATTTGCCTCCCAATTAATAACATATACCTCACCTATTCTTCAATGCTTTCTTCCCATGTAGAAGTTCCACCAACTTCCATGTATCATTTTTATGCAAAGCATCAATCTCATCATCCATTATCTTATGTCACCATTCAGCATTAGGGCAATAAAACTCAGGTTCGTCACTATCAGTATACAAAGCATAATATAACGAGGGAGAATACCTTTGTGTGGGCTTGTAAGGGTGTGTGGATCTTCTCAATTTTGGCTCAGGTGTAACTTGTAGTCCTTCTTCATCTTGAATTAATTCAGTGTCATCCTCATAACTAGCATCACCTCCATCAAAACTGTCTTGAGCTTGAGCTTGAGCTTGACTCTCTTGCATTTGTTGAGGTAAAACAATGGGATTTGGTTCTTATATGTCTACAACAAGCCTTTCTTGCTTTGGCTCTTCTTGCTGCTTTTCACCAAACATTACATTTTTATTAAAGAGAACATCTCGAATTCTGATGGTCTTTTTTGCAATAGGATCCCAAATCCTATAACGTCTATCATCACCACCATATCCAAGAAAAGCACATCTTCTTGACTTGGCATCCAGCTTGGTTCTACTTTCACTGGGCACTTGAATATAAGCTTCACACCCAAATGTTCCCAAGTGTTCATATGACACACTTTTACATCTCCATGTAATTTAAGGTATTTCATTATTCAATGGTGCACTGGGAGATCTATTGATCAAATATATAGCTGTACAAGCAGCTTCTGCCCAAAATTGCTTACCAAGACCAAATTATGATAGCATGCTTCTTACTCTTTCAATGATGGTTTTATTCATCCTCTCAATAAAACCATTTTATTGTAGTGTCCTAGGAACAGTCCTTACTTTACGAATGCCATTCTTTTTACAAAAAGTATCAAAGGCATTTGAGCAACATTCACCACCATTATCAGTTTGCAAGCATTTTATAAATCTTTATGTTTCTTTTTCAACCTTGGCTTTGAAAACCATGAAAACTTCAACAACTTGATCCGTAGATGCTAATCGATACAACCAACACTTTCTAGACTAATCATCTAAAAAAGTGACAAAATAAGACGTTACACTAAGAGATTTAACATTAACAGCTTCATAAACATCAGAATAAATCAATTATAGTGCATTACTTTTTCTATGAGATTCATTTACTTTAAAATTAACTCTATGCTGCTTATCCATGACATAAGGATCACAAAAATCAAGAAATGAATGCTTAGAAGTAGGAATAAGATTTTGAGTTTGCAATACCTTCATACCATGCTCGTTGAGATGACCCAAACGGCTATGCCAAATCTGCATATCCTCATACTTACTATCTGCGACAATGATCTTCTATGTAGCATTATTCCTTTGAGCTGTGGCATGAAGAGTGTGGAAACTTCTGTCTTTTTGCCCTTTCAACATTGTTATACAACCTCTTGAAACCTTCCATTACTTATTTCCAAAAGTCACTATGAAACCAGAGTCATCTAACTGCCCGACTAAAATGAGATTTTTCTTCAACTCAGGAACATGCCTCACATTTCTCAATGTGTGCTTCTTTTCATCTAATTGCTTGATAACAACATTTTCAATGCCCAATATTTTGCAAGCTCGATCATCACCAAGATAAATCAAGTAACCATCCACATCCATGCAGGATAAAAAATATGACATTTATGGGCAAACATGAAATGAAGCGCCAGAGTCTAATTGCAAAAGATAATGTTATGCATGCAATACTAAAAGTAACCCCATCTGAAACTATTATTGCTTCGGCATAGCTATCCTTGCCCTTGGCCTTTTGCTTATTCTTCAAATCATAACAATCTTTCCTTGTATGACCAGGTTTCTTGTAATACCAGCAAGTAACCTTCTTACCTTGTGGCTTGGACATGCCTCTGCTATGAGATTTGCCCATATTAAATCCATAGGGTTGGTCTCTATATTGTGTTCTTCCTCTATCTCCTGCTGCCAATGCTTGATTTGATTCAACAAGTATTTGTGTGGATGCATTTCTAGTCTCTTCATTTAATAATGAAGCTACAACATCTTTTAAATTAAACTTGTTACCCATTGTATTAGTAACAGTGGTAACCGAGGTATCCCAACTAGTAAGCAAATAACTCAGCAAAAACAACACAACACTTCTTCATCCGAATTCACTTTCAAATACCTCAATTGTGTAGAATTTGAATTAAATTCATTCACATGCGACCTAATTGTAGCACCTTCTTTCATTTTCAAAAGAAATAAATTTTTTATCGCATGCATTTTATTTGCACTAGAGGGTTACTCAAAAGATTGCTTTAAAGATTGCCAAAGCTCTGCAGATGTTTTACATTGACAAACATCAAACAAACTTGATGGGTGAAATACATGGTCTAATAGTTGCCAAACATTTTCGATCAAGAATATCCAATTCCCAATCTTCCAACAGGTATGACCTGCTTACCTCAAAGTGACCGATCCAATTCTTTTCCAACAAGATAATATTCTATCATCATTTTCCATATTGGCCAATTACTTTGATTTAATTTTTCAAATTCCAATGCCCTTTCCATTTTCAAGGATAAATACTACAAATAACCACAACAACGAAAAAAACATATTTCTTTACAGACACAATGAAGAACAGACCCTAAGCTTTGATACCAGTGTAGGGATCCATTGGCGAAATATCAGCAATGGTTTATAACATTTATAACTATTGTGCATTCATATCAATATAAACAACCAATGGAAATTACACAATAGCAAAGCAAGAACATGAAATGAAAAAATACAGCAACATTTAATCCACAGAGCACAAAGATTTAACGTGGTTCGGTCACAAATCGTGACCTACATCCACGGGAGGATGATGTGAGACTTTACTTATTGATTTGAAAATATTACAAAGTGAAATCGAGCTCAAAATATCACTATTCAGCAGTCTTTTTTAACTCTAAATAGATCCCAAAAACAAGGCACCAAGAACACAAAAAATTGGGTTCACTTTAACATTTTCTCTCACTAAAACATGACACACAACAAACCCATAATGAAGTTCAAGCATTTTGCTCACTTTCTCTCTCTAAAATAGAGCATACCAAGCTCTCAAGAATAAACCCAATTGCAGCCCAATCTCTCTATCTTTTTCTCACTCTTTCTCTCTCTAAACAAAAAGGTTTTTATCCCTTTAAAATAGTAAAGTTCATATAACACCATAACCATTGGATTAGATGCAATCCAATGGCCCAAAATAAAAGAGGAAAACGTTAAATAAAACTGATTTGTTTTCACACATGTAACGCCTTTGAAGATGATGTCATCACATCATGGGCCTAATTGAATTGTAATGCCCAAAGCACCCAAACATATACACCCATGGGCATTAGTAGAGCCGTGATGAACCATCCCAACTCTAATTAGGGACGTAATGCCTATCTCATGGGTGCTTTGGGTGCCTTGAGCATCACATCCCTTACCCCCCCAAGCAGATGCCATGTGCGAAGGATATTCGCGGAAAAAAATATTGGGGCATAGATGTACTCTTAACAAATATTATTTCTTATTTTAAAAAATATAGGGACATTTTTTGATATTTTTTAAAAAATAAAATATCATAAACAAAAAATATTAAAGAATCACATGAAATGTAAATTGCCCGATTCTCTAATAGATATCATGATTCTTATAGTAGAATAGAATCAAGTATTTTTTTTTTGTTTCGACAAAATGGAGTGATTCCTAGACTAATTCTAAAATCTATGAAAGAACTTACGAAACCGGATGGAAATGGACAATTCCGGATCCAGATGGGAATGAATTTTCGAAAGCATTGAGTAAAGATGCAGACTCGAAGAAAGAAGTGTGGGTCTTTCTTTTTAGGTTGAGCACGAGGACGAAAAATTAAAACTTTAAATGTAGGGGAGCGGGAGTCATGGGAGAGAAAAAGGGGGATAGTGGATGTTGATGAGCCACCTCACATTACAGCTGGTTGTCGGGGCCGCCCTCAATTCGCTTCCCCATGTCCATCCCGCGGTGCACGTGATTTATGCGTGACTTAACAACAACAGCACTCACTTACAAAACCCTTCCCTTTCTCTTTCTCTCTCTAACCCCCCCCCCTCACCACCACTATAAATGCCCTCCTAAAAAACTCCGCTCCCCTTCTTCCCTTCTCTCTCTATTTCCTCTCCATCCCTGTTTTTCTTTTTTTTCTATCCTTTTCTCTCTGATTTTTATCCTTTTCGGGCTCTTCGGTATTGATGCCCTTTAAGTGATTGCAATGGGAGTTTAGTGTGTTGTCTCTTTCTAGGCGGGCGGCAATTTCTGCAACCCTTGTGCTTGGATCTGCCTGTGAGTTCTGCATTTTTTTTGTTTGTCTTGTTTTGGTTTTCTATTCGATTTATATTTTTTTTGTAATGGGGTTTTGGTTTCAATGTTAAGTGGGAAACCAGTTGGGATTGGGAGAAGTTCATGGAATGAGTTATGTGAGAGGTAAAGAGATTGCAGAGAGAGAGAGAGAGAGATAGAGGATATGGAATTGTGATCTGCTTTGTAGTTTGGTTTCGAGTTTTATCATTTTGTTTCTGTCGATATCTTTTTGTCCTTTTTTTTTTTCTTTTTTTTTCTTCTTTGAACTTTTTTTTGGTTAAGGTGGATCTCGTAGCAGTTGGTTTCCCTGACATTTGGCTTGAGATTTGTTGTGGCTTTTGCGGATACTCTGTGGTATGAAAGCGAAAAAGTTATTGATCAAATAGTAATGGGTGCGTATGAAATTTATTTAGTTTTCCATGAATGTGTGTGAAGAATCGAACAAAACAATGAATTTTAACTTGAAATAGCATGGCATTATGGATGTGTGTGAATGGGGAACTATCGGTTCATAACTTCATCTTGAATCTCAAGTTGTCACTGGTGGATCAACCTGTGTTATAGGGGCTGGATTTATAAGAAACTCTTTAGTGATAAGTAATTTGTGTCTTATTTCTCAGAAAAAAGAAGCAATTTGTGTCTTGGATTATTCAATGGTGGTTCGCATCTTTGCATATCAAAGCATATAAGAAACTGCTTTGTTGTTGGACACTTGTGCTATTCACAAGTATGTTATTCCATGAGTTCAGAATTGTTAGTTAGGACCCCATGCATTTGGCTCTAGAAGTTCATTGAAATGGTGGTGAACTCTAAGGGGGGTTATTTGGCATTTTTAGTCAGTTGTTTGGTCTTATCATTGATGGCACATCTAATTCGTTCTAAATTCTAGTAATGATCACCATGGAAATTTCCATATCCTGTGACCATCATTATACATTCTTGCAATTAAAAACGGAGACGCTTCATCGAAGGACTACCTCTTCATTATGAAATCTCTAAAGTGGTCACTTTCAAACCAAGTCGAGTTACACAATTTCCCAACATGCCATTGCTTGTGTGATCTCTATTTTTGCTAGTGTATGCAAGACCTAAAAACTTAGAAACTCCACAAAGGAGCTTACCCCTAGAGTGTGTATTTGCAAATTTTAGGGCTGTAACCCAACATTATTAGGATTCTTTTTTTTTTACTTATTTTTTTCGATAGTTGGTATTGCATCAAAAGATTGGGTCCTTTTTACCAATCGTTTCTATATTACAGAGCCTGACAAAGTATTGAATGGTACTAAAATTTTCCCCTATGGTTCTATATTCTAGTTCAACCATCTTTCATCTGACATCAAATTTATTGTGTCTATATATTCTTTTCAGTTTGGTGGCCTCATATGAAGACTTATGGGCCTTTAATGTGCTGTGGTCGGATTTTTATGAAATTCAACATATTTTTTATGGAGTGAGTGGTGGATGGAAATGCTTGTATATTTCGAACATACGAGGGAATGGCAGAGATGGCCGGGGATCCTGGGCACTCGGAATCAGAGCATTCTCATGGTAGCTGGTGGCTCCCTGGCCTTGCTGAAAAGTTGCAATCTGTGGCTTTGGATTCTCAAGAGAGGAATGTGGATGTTGGGTACTCTGGATGTCACCTTGAGCACGATGATATGTCACCACTTGCAGCATCACAGGTTCTATGGGCAAGTGGAGTGTTTACTGGAGTCATTCCTAATGGATTTTACTCTGTCATTCCTGTGAGTTATTGCTGTTTGCGATTGATGATGGGTTTATATTATTTTATTGCTCACCGTTAGACTAGTTTGATTCTAGGCAAACTAGGATGATGCATTGACTTTTTAGTTGAATCGGATTCTTGAATGTTGTAATTGTTGCTTGTTGATTTTGTTTATGATGTGCTCAATTTTATAATTGCTTTCCTGTTTACATAGATGATGCCATTCTGGGAGCCATAAGTTTTATTGTCTTAGTCATCTTTGTCATTTCAAGAGAGTTAAAGATATATGATACAAACCAGTTGGATATATGTGAATACAGAGATGCATGAACAAATACATGCACTTACATAAATCTTAAACTAGGCATGCATTTGAACATGCCAAGTATATGTATCTCACTTGTCAACATGAAACTTGTGCACATGTATGTGTATGATAGATTTCATTGGCATGCTCAGTCACTTAATTATCTCACTTATACTCATCACATACCCTCCTACCATGTGCTTGCACATGTGTGTGTGTGTATGCACGCATGGGCATTTGCAAGTGTTGATCTAAATGAACATTCCACCAATCTATTCTTCCAATAATGGAACTCCCTTTGCCTTCCCTCTTCTTCTTTGCTAATAGCTGGGGTCAGCCCCTTGCTTGTCATTTCCACAGCTGTGGGAGCATTAGAGCTAATTCACCTTGCCCGACATCCCCAAGTTCTTGCGCATTTCTTCTAATCCCTAAGAGCTACCTCTTGATACCTAGCATCATTCATAGTGCCATTTGATTACATTTTTATTTATCAAGAAAAAAAAAAAAAGGAAAAGGAAAATTGATAGCATTTTCCTATTTCTCCTCATCTATTCCCTTGGAAATTGAGTATAAGAGCATTTTAGATATTACTTCCTCATATGGAAGGGATACTAATTGCTCAAGTCCCTCTGTTGGCCACAATAATGCTACTATCCTTTAACCATCCTCCTTTTTTATGTGGAATATCGTGGCCTGGGCCAAGCTTAAAATGCAGGGCAGTTCAGGATTTATGTGCTAAGTTCTCTCCCTCCCTTTTAACCCTCATCGAAACAAAACAACCTACGCCTGACCTCCCCGGTGTTAAGAACATCTTGGGGGTTTACCTTTAGGTGGTTCGCTTTAGAAGCGGCAAGTGCCTTTGGGGGCATCTAGCTTCTATAGGACCCTACTCTTCACAGGTTGTTGGAGTCTTCCATAGGCCAGGTCTCGAGTATTGTCTCACTCTCGAGACTCTCCGATGGCCTGCAATGCAGGTGTAATGCGGTCTACGGTCCTAATGCCGATGGCCTGAGACTGGCCTTTTGGGTTGAATTGAACTCCCTCGCTGCTGTTACCCCTGCCACCTAGTGCCTGGGGGGGACTTCAACATCACCAGGTAGTCCCATGATCGCAACTCCAATCAAACTATTTCTCCGGCAATGGTGCAATTCTCTAACTTTGTCTTTCAGCGCCATTTGACTGATATCCATTTGGAAGGGGCACAATACATCTAGTCCAACCACTCCATCAACCCCACTGTCTCCAAACTTGACCAGTTCTTGACCTCTGTAGACTGGGATCTCACCTTCCCGGATACTCACTCCTCAGTGTTACCTAAACCGACTTCAGATCACCATCCCATAATCTTGGATATTGAAACCGTCCATCGGGGTCCCAAGCCCTTTAAGTTCGAGGCTTGGTGGTTAGAGGAACCTAATTTCCTTCAATTGGTTTCGAATTCCTGAAATTTTTTCCAACCTCTGGTTCACTGATGGGCTGCATTCAGGGTCCAAAGGAAACTTCAGTTGCTGAAAGGGATCCTCAAAACTTGGAAAGCCCAACATCCCGGCAATTTTAGCGACCAAAAGGCCTCGTTGCTACTCTCCATTAATGCATTGGATGCTCTAGAGGAGTCCAGGCCCTTGCTACCCCCTGAAATTGTGCTTAGAGATGAGGCTAAGCTCAATTACCAGTCCATTCTTCTTAAAGAAGAGATATATTGGTCTCAGAGATCCAAAGTTAAGTGGCTGAAGTCTAGTGATCTCAACACTGGCTATTTCCATAGGATAGCCGACTGTAGAAGGCGTGAGAATTCTATCACTCACCTCAAAGTTGGGGAATTGATTGTTGACCATCCTTCCCTCATAGATAAGGCCGCAGTCACTTTCTACTCAAATCTCTTCAGCTCCCTTCAGGCCTTAGACCTATCATGCATGATCTTGCCTTTCCCACTCTAAACCAGGCAGAAATAAGTTGGTTAGAAAGGCCTTTCTCAGAGGAGGAAATTACCCAGGCTCTCAATGGCCTGAGCTCAGATTGTGCCCCGGGCCCCAACGGGTACCTTATGATATTCTTCAAGATCTTTTAACAGGTCATTCGTCTCGACATCCTTGACTTTTTTGCCGAGTTCCACTTGCGAGGGACCATTTGCAAAGCCACCAATGCCACTTTTATAGCTATAGTTCCAAAAAATCGAAGGAGCAGAAGAGTTGAAGGACTTTAGGCCCATTAGCTTGGTCAATAGCTCCTACAAACTTCTCTCCAAAGTCGTGGCCGCTAGTCTTAAAAGCTGTCCTTCCCTCTTTTATTTCTCTTACCCAAAGGGCTTTTGTCAAGGATCAACAGATCTTGGATGGGGCCCTCATTGCCCACGAGTGTATCCATTCCCGGTCTCTATCCAAGGTCCTTGGACTTGTGATCAAGCTAGACTGGGAGAAAGCTTATGACCATCTCGATTGGTTAATTCTCGTTGAAACCCTTCGTCGGATGGCATTTGGCGACAAGTGGCGGAGCCGGATCCATGGATGCATTTCTTACCCCGTCGTCTTCATACTCATTAATGGAGACTCTCCATACTCTCTAGTGATATGCTTTCTAAACCATTGTTTCAAAAAGCGGACCGCCCAGCGCCTGGGCAGCCGCCTAGGCGAATTTCCTTGAGCACTCACCTGAACTCCCCTAGGCGGCCACCCAGGGGCGGAACTGCGGCTCCTTGAGGGTATTTTTGGGTCTTTTTTTTAATACTAAAGAGGCAAAATTGTGAGTTTTAGGTTCATTTGAAACCTAAAACCCATTAGAGACTATTTTAGAGAGAAAACCCGAAAGAAAATATTTCTACTGGGCCGCCCAGGTTCTGGGCGCTCGCCTGGGCGCCCGCCTAGGTGTTGGGCAGCCTGGACCCCCCTGACCGCCTTGGAGCTGCCTAGCGCTTTTTGAAACACTGTTCTGAACCACATGATGAACATTTGACGGCTGGGATTCCACTTATATTATTATTCCTTATAGCTGCCCAGCTATTGTTAGTTTTTTCTTTTTAGTTGTGCTACCCTGAACGGCCTTTACTTTAAATATAACTGGTAAATACAACACATACAAGTAAAACCATGGCGTAGACATAATCCTATTTTGTCTTTATAATTATGTAGTCAAAATCATAATTTAGAAGTACATATCTTTTGTAGATAATTTTCTTAGTACATTATTTGATCCAAAATCACAATTTAGAAGTGCATATCCTTTATATATAATTTTTCTAGTATATTATTTGAACCTAAGTTCAATAGTCAATACAATCACTTTAAAATTTGGGAACCCTTGTAATAAGAGATTATATTATTAGGTTCTAAAGTTAATAAGGCTCAAGATGTGTATGGGGCTTCCTACTCCATAAAATTGAAATCTCGATTCTTGGTAGGGGTCAAACACATTCCGTAATGTTGTAATTTTCGATATCAAATTGGCATGGATCTCTGATCATATACATCAGAAACTCAATTCCAAATATGGTGGAATCATGATTCTAGACTGCAACATATATTTGTTTCACATATGTCAGATTCTCGATTCCATAGATGTCGGAATCTCAATTCCAAATATCAATGAATCTTGACTCCTCGAGGGTCGATTTCAGGGGATGGGAATCTCGATTCCAAGGAGGTCAGAATCTCGATTCCAAGAAGGCTAGAATCTCGATTTCAGATGTCGATGAATCCCAAATCTACTTTGATTGAGACACGGTTCCATGAAATTAGGAATCTCATTCTCTGCAATTCCCATTGCACGAACGTCGATTCCTAAAATAGGAATCTTCTAGGCGGCCACCATTCTGTGATTTCGATTCCTGAATCGATTCGTGTTTCCAGGCGTTTCCAACAACTATGGTTTAGAGGCTTCCATTTGAACCAAGGCACCCCTTCAAACCGGTGTTGTTCTAAGTCTACATTGCACATGACCAAAGTATCTATGTCTACTTGTCTCATTTTGTTGCCTATTGGAGCTACCCCTAAGTCCTTCGAATGTATTCGTTCCAAATTCTATCCTTCCTTGTTTTGGCCCTCATCCATCTCAAGATCTTTATCTCAGCTACACTCATTCAATGGATATGTTATTTCTTGATCGCAATTCTGTCCCATAAAGCATGGCTTGTCTTACAACCATCTTATATAACTTCAATTTTATTGGTATGTGACAATTACATAAGACTCCAGAAAAACCTCTCCACTTCATCCAACCAGCTCTAATTCTATGAGCATCATCTTCTTCAATCCCTCTTTTCTCTTGGATTATCGACTCAAGATATTGAAATAATCTCTATTAGGTACTTCTTGGCCATCATCTTAATTAATTCCTTGTTTTTGTATCTATTATTGCTAACCTTGCATTCCATATATTATGTATTAGTCCGGCTAATTTTAAAACCTTTAGATTCTAAAGCATTATTCTAAAGTTCTAACTTTGTGTTTATGTTTTCTCTAGTCTCATTAGTCACAACTATATTATTTGCAAAGAACATGAGCCATTGGATCTCATCTGGCAGATGCCTGGTTAACTTGTCCATAACCAAACAAAAGACATATGGGCTCAAAGCTGACCCTTGATGTAGGCCTACGGTCATTGAAAACTTACTTCTCTCCACTAGTTGTTTTCACATTAGTTAGCACTCCCTCATACATATCCCTAACCATGTCATTATATTCTCTTGAGACTCCTTCCTTTTCCAACACCCACCAAATAATCTGTCTAGGTGCCATATCTTATGTTTTTTTTTTTTTAATTTAATAAAGACCATGTGGAGGTCTTCTCTCTTCTCCCTAAACTTCGCAATCAATTACCTATGCGGGAAAATGGTCTTAATAGTTTAACCTTTCTGGCATAAATCCAAACTGATTTTCTGATACTCATTTTATGTCTTAGTCATTGCTCAATCATTTTCTTGCACAGTTTCATTGTGTGACTCATAAGTTTGATCCATGGATAAGTGATACAACTCTGTATGTCTCATTTGTTCTTGTAAATGGGTATTACAATACTTTTTCTTCATTCATCTGGTATTTTCTTTGTTCTCAAAATCTTATTGAACAATGTGGTCAACTAGAATGTGCCAATCTCTACCATGCACTTTCAGAATCTTATTGAACAATGTGCCAATCTCTACCATGCACTTTCAGGAGAAGGATAGTTCTATATTTTTTATTTTATTTTTATTTATTTTAATTTTCATGGGTTTTCTTGTATTTTTGATAAGGGTTACGTTTTTGTTTTAGTTTATTGCTTTTGTTTAGGGTTAAAAGTTTGTTTCTAGAATAATAGTAGTTACCATTTTTGTGTAAGACATTAACTTGCATAGGAAGTTCTATTTAGATAAAGTTAAGGAGTAAGTTTTTTAGTAGGAAAATGAGAGGTGGTTATCTTTTAGGAACATTTCTTTTAGTTAATAGTTGAAGAAGTCTTATCTCTTAGGAAGGAAGGAACAATAAGTTATTTTTGAGAATGAAAACTTTTATAAACGGGGTGCACGTCTCATTATAAGATGATGGTTTCTGTTTTAAATGAAGGAAATATAATTTATTATAGAGAGAGACTGTTTTTCTCTTGATTTTCACTTTTGGTGATTTTCACTGCATCAAGTGGTATCAGAGCATGGTTCAAAGACGGCTAGAGATTCCGATGGCTGGTTGTGGAGAACTTAGCCATAGGGATGCCGATCTAATCTGATTGCCCAAGGAAATCAACAACGTGACAGTGAAGTTTACACAGTGTTGCACAAATGAAAACAACAACGTACCCTAAACAAAGTGGAATCTACGGCAATAGATCCAAGTCGTGATGATTTTTATGGAGAATGACGTGAATTGAGTCTAACTCAGAGTGGGAGCGGAATGATGACGGTTGTGAGTCGGAAGTTGTCTTTGAGAACCCGTTCTATGCACGTACTCCTCGTCTGGAGCTTCATGTTTGGGAGAGTAGATCATCAAATTTCAACACTAAAAGTTCATCTACCTGAGTTTGATGAGGAACCAGTTGAATGTGAAGAACAAGTAGGTTTGGATCTTCAATTGGAATCATAATTTGTTGATGTCATGGGTGACTGCATCTGTGGTGAAAGTCCTATTTTCGATAAAGAACAAGATGAAATGAAAGAAGTTGGCTTTGAGGCAGTAAGGATATCTAATTTCCTTGTGAATGGAGAGATGGAGAAGCAGGATGTTGATTGACTTGAACTTAGAGGAGCTCAAGCCTATGGAGATTTTAGAGGAAGAAAGAAAGAAGTTGAGGAAGGAGGCAATTGGGGGCTGCGACCATAAAGAACTATTTTATCTTCCCATTGGCTGGGCTGACCTTTCCTGTTTTCCAATTCAGATGATTCATCCCACAATGCTAGGCTACTAAATCTGTGTGCATCAAAATTCCCAGCAACTTGTTTGAGGATATTATCGAGGATATTTTGATCAAGCCTATGATCCTAAATGTCAATTCGCAATATTCGAGTTGAGAGAGAACTTGTCTTTAGAGGAGGATTCTCCATGGGTTTACTTGTATCTGTGATAAGGGTTATGTTTTTGTTTAAGTTGGTTGCTTTTGTTTTGGGTAAAAGTTTGTTCCAATAATTATAGGAGTTACCGTTTTTGTCCTAGGAGGGCTTCACCTTAAAGAGGTGTATCTTAAAAGATTAACGTGGGTAGGGAGTCATGTTTAGATGAAGATAAAGGGTATGATTTTTCAGTAAGAAAATGTTTTAGAAGAGAAGACGAGGTTATCTTTTAGGATGGTTTCTTTTAGTTAATAGTTGAAGAAGTTTATCTCTTTGAAAAGAACAAGATGTTAGTTTTTAAAAGAACTTTTATAAAAAAGGTGGATGTCTTATTGTAAGATGATGGTTTTTGTTAATGAAAGAAAGAAAATTTATTGGAGAGAGAGAGTGTTTTCTTCTTGATTTTCTCTTTTGGTGATTTTAGCTGCATCATGAAGCCTTTCTTATTGTCATCTTTCTCAAAGTTCTCTCACTTCGGATAAAGTATCTATGACCTTCCTCATTTATGTCAGTGATTCTTCTTAACGTTGAGTTCCTAGAGCGGTCGTTATTTAACAATTTTTGAAAATGGATTTTCTGCCTTTCATTGATCCCGTCATCCATCACCAATACTTTTTGATCCTCATTTTTATTGCATTTAATGTGGTCTAGGTCCCTACACATCCTCGCTCATTTTTGCTAGTTTGATGACAGCTTTTACACCTTTTTTTATTCCCAATTTATTATATAGATCATCATATGCCTTAAGCTTAGCCTTGCTTACTATTTTCGTAGTATTCCTTTTGGCATTTATATGCTCTTATAAATTTTGATCATTTCTATTCCGTTGTCTAGCTTTGTAACATGATTGAATTTTGCTAATATCCTTTTTGAACCATCATTCCACCACCAAGTTTCCTTATTTGAAAGTCTTTCCCTCTAGATTTTCTTAAAACTTCTTTTGCCACTTTCTTAATACAATTGGGCATGGGCATTTCATTCCACGTAACATTAATTTTGTCTTCAGAATTCTATTTTCCTTTTCTTCATCACCTCTTCCATCTCTTAAATTTTGTAGTTAATAATTATAATAGTAATAGTAATAATGATAATAATAATTAGTAAGAATAACAACAACAACAATAACAATAATACTGAAACAACAACAACAATAATTAATTAGTAGTAATAGTCATTTTGGTGGTAGCACCAGCAGCAGCAGCAGTATTAGTACTAGTTTGCGATCTACATTCCAGAACATGTCAGCGACATGCAGTCATCACTTTCCTGTAATGAAAATAGTATGCCATGGGGATCTTCTGAGAATATACTACCCTATCTTACCAGTGAAGTTACCAACTCAAATTAGGGTTGTTTATTGTTTGAAACCCTGAGGCGCATGCATGTGGAAAGGTAAATGGGAGAGTATCCCGTTTTGGTCTGTAGATTATATACAGATTACAGTACCTTGCTAAGAAGGTGAGATAGAGTGGATGGCGGCTTTTGATGACTCCTGATTTCTCTATGAGTCCATGAACATCCTAAGAGGCCCCTTTTAGGCTTCAAATGCCACCGTCATCCATAACTTATCTTTACTAACAGCTTTAATTACTGATTTTGTTGTCCCTTTCAATTTGCTAGCTCTAAACTGAAATTTGAAGTCTTCCACCACATGAGTTGTTATAATTCTGGAATCGTACGTTTCTAAGGTGCCAATGGATTTTATTTGTCAATTCTGAATTTGAAATTATTGTAGGAGCCGTATAATTCTTTGGAGTAACACTTTCAGTAGAACAAGACACTCGATAGTCTGTATATTTGTATAGTAGAACAAGACACTTGATAGTCTGTTTATTTGTATACAATCTATTCATTTTCAGTACCAAAAAAAATTCATTGATAGTCTGTTTATTTTGATATAATCTAGCATATATACAGCAGTTTGTTTAGCCATCTTGCTTACTTCTTTAATTATGTTTGTCGTTCATTCTCCTCTTAAAATTATTAAATTGCTATTTAAAATGACATTTGACTGATCTATGATGGGCTATGGTCATGCAGGAAAAGAAACTCAAGGATCAGTTTGATAACATTCCTTCTCAAGACGAGCTGAATTCATTGGAAATGGATGGTGTTCGAGCGGACATTATCTTGGTGGATGCGGAGAAGGATAAGAAGCTCACTATGCTTAAGCAGCTTGTTGTAGCACTAGTTAAAGGATTACATTCAAATCCGGCTGCAATGATTAAAAAAATTGCAGGAGTGGTGAGAACCTCAACCATTGTTGATTGATGGTTAGACAAGTCATATAGTTTTTCTGATACCCTTTCACTTAGTCTTTTCTAGTTTTTATTTTTTAAATCATGCTTTGAGGAGAAGTTCTGAGTTCTAACAGAGAGTCGCTTTAGTTTCTGTTGCACAAATCTTTGGCACAATCATTTCTGAATTCTTCTATCTTTCTGTCTTTTCTAATTCTGGATCTTTGTGGATATTTTTTTCTTGCCTTCCTTGAATATTGTTTTCTGATTGAAATGTAGAGTGCTTTTTCTCATTTCTATCTCATTTTATAATTAATTTTGCATTAATGAAATCAAATTTTGTACAAATGGGAATTTGTACAATTTGTATAAGAAAGGAAAACCGAAATACGGAAAATACAATCTTTAGGAGTTTGTTTGTTCGAAAATTAGGAAAAGTATGGGCAGATATCTTCGATGATCAGGGATTGGTTGCGGTGGTCAGGAGATAGGAAGTTTGGAAAAGTATGGGCATATATCTTCTATGATATGGGAATGGTTGTGTTGTGGTCAAGAGATAGGAAGTTCAGGTTGTTTCACCTCCATGTTCGAGTGACCCTCTGTGTTTGCTTCTCTTCACATCCGTCTCAGAAGAACCTCAAGGTTTTGAATTAATTTGAAAATTTTGCAGACTAAATGTTTCAACCTCCTGGGGCAGTGAGAGTCTCCCTTAGTTCATTTGATGGTGTTCTTGAAATATTCTCAATGGGCAATTTGCAAGGGTGCAGCACAAGGATTCTTTACATTTCTAATTGAAATGAATAAAGCATCTGTTTATATGTGGGGTCAGCAATTGACCTGTCTCTAATGTGTACTTGCTTCTATCAATAGCTCCATGTATGGAAGTTTAGGAAGTTTTTATGCTATTAGTAGAAAGAATTTGCTTGTGGTGTAGTAATGATCAGCCAAATAAATTTTTGGGAGATTCCTCTCATCCTTAAATGATTTCTGAGACGTTGGTGGTTCTATAAATTTTCTCTTCCTTGAACTTGTGAAAGAAAAAAATAGTTGCTCATCCCTTTCTCCTAACATTTTCACATGAATTCATCATTGTAAACTAAAGCATCTATTTATCTGTGTTCGTCCATCACAAGGGCCTTGAGGCTCGTCTTTTGTGCCTCAACTCATTTCTTTCTATTTTTTCTCAATAACTTTTAAAATTGAGTGCAGAAGCCTTCAGCTCCTCACAAAATTCACTGATCTTGGTTGAGTGCCTTAGGAACAAATTAATAACTATCTAGTCACATGTTTGTATGTGATTATTGTTTCTTACCCGGAGGGGTATTTTACTCATGTACAATTACTTGTATATGCTAACCATATGAGCCTTGTTCTTTTGACTAATAAGAATCTTGTTTCACAGCTTAACTTTCTAGTCATGGATGGCAATGTAATTTATTTGCATTAGTTAGTTGTACAGCTACTTTAAGTTCACCGTTTATATATAACCTCAATGAATTTGAACTGGGAGTTATAAGAGTGGGATAATTTATTGTCAAAATGAGTCTAAGATGAATCTTTTGTGTATAATTGGATTGTTGGGATGGAATATAACATATTTGTTTCCTAGAAAATAAAGAAATGATTCTTATTTTTCACAAAAAAAGGTGATCCACCTAGACATGTGAATGAAGATTTGGCACCTCAACGCGAAAATATTTATCTAGATAACTGAAATGTCGATTAGCTTCTGGAATACTAACTACATGGAGACATATTTGAGTTATGTACAGCGATTTGTAACGATATGTTTACATTCTCTGACATAATGCATTTTGAAATGTACATGTAACTTGTTTTACTGAGTGTGTTTTTTTGCACTTTTACTGCTGCAGGCAAGTCTTAATTATAGAGAATGGATATGCATTTTTCACTTGCAATCATCTTCATGATGAGGATTGTCTTTCTTAAGTTTTATTTTGCATTGTTGACTAGATGATGTTGAGAGACTAGTTTGCATTCTAGATGTTTTCATGTTATGGATAAGCTCGTCCATATCCACAAACAATATCATATTGGAAGAGCAATAAATAATACTTGCCATGTGTTGCCTTCATAATTAGTAACGTGATTCTGGTAAATTCGATGTACAGGTTTTTGATTTCTATGGACGAACTGGTCCAGAAGGAGGTCCTGCTAAAGCTGCACTAGAGGAAAATGCTCATGGATCTGAGCATCGAGGTTTTCAGCTATTGGGGCAAATAAAAAATGGCTCATGCCGACCAAGAGCAATTTTATTTAAAGTGCTTGCTGATGCTGTTGATCTGGGTTGTAAACTTATGGTGGTGATGTTCCTTTCCTATATTGCACTTCATTTGAACTATAAAAAATGCCTGAATTTGTTTTTGTCAAAAAGAAATGTTCCTGAACTTGTTGCGTGCACTCTTCTTGTTCTAGGATAGCTATCATAAAAAGTTTTCTGAACTTATTGCTTGCTATTTTCTCTTTCAAGGATTGCTTGTCATAGCTTCTTTTTTTTTTTTTTTGTTCTTTTGGTGTGTGGAAAACGTTTTTTTGAATCAGAAGATCGGGTACATCAAGTTGTTCCAAATAGCTCATATGTATCTCTTGTGCTTCTTTTCTCCAGGGCATACCTAGTGATGGTGCTGTCGGGTGCACAGACCCTTACAAACACATGTCAGTTTTAGTTATGATAAATTCTGTGGACCTTGTGGTTGATCTTATGCGTTATCCGGGCCACCTGATACCATTTTCAACCAAAGCACTTATAATGTACCATATTTCTGCTGGAGGAGAAAGCGACTCTGCGGAAAATGATTCCTGTGATTCTCCTCTTGAACCAAACAGTCCTCTTTGTGGACTTTCAGACAGAATGGATGGTGAAGGGTAAGAGTCTTGCCAACATGTTCCTTTTGATGTTTATATTCCATGAACACCTCTGCTACCTTTTTGTACAATTATCTTGTCTTGTGGATGAACTCACTCTTCAGATATTGTACTGCTTGTGTCTGATTTTTTACATGCATGCCTTTTTTTTCTTATTAAAATGAGTACTTGTTCAGTGAACTCTTCTTTCTTGCTTATCATACCAGAAACAGTTAAACTTTGGACTCCTTGGAAGACTGATATCCGTCATGTAGTTGAATTTGATGAAACGTGGATATGGTGTTTTTTCCTAGTTGTTGATTGTGATACATGAATTGGAAGGCATATACTATTAAATACAATGTGTTAATTCAAGGGTTGTGTCATTCCATGTGATCTATCATCCTCTTATCCAATGACCCCCTAATTCCATGCTACAATGGAACAAGAGTTTTGGATGCTATTATTACAACTAAATGGTCAGAAAATGCAAATCTTGTATTCTTTTCTTCAGTTGGTTAATCTGCAGAACTTTTGTTGGATTTTGCCTGATTTAAGATTTAAGCGTTTTGCTTTCAAACAATTATACTTTTCTTCTGGCATCATAGAGTCTGGTGAAGATTGGTATTCTTCTTCTAAATGATAATGATACTGCTAATTTTACTGCTACTAGTGCATTTGCTTGTGTAATTTTTGTTATTCCATCTTTCACACTCTGCGCTATCCCTTGACACTATGTATTAAGGGGCCCTTTGATGATCTTGTTTGTCATATTCCTTTTGTTGGTAATTTTTATTGTTGTTCTTAAAGATCCAATTTCTCACCTTCCATAATTACATTTATACTCATTTATGCAGCCTGGAGCTAGATGACAACAGCTCCAGATCTTTTGGTCCAAGGAAGGTTGAATCGAATGCAGCTGGTCCTTCACTTAGAAACATAATGCTCAGACTCCCATCTGTTGAGGGAAAGCTCAGGTGTTGCTTTCTATTTGATCTTGCATAGCTCTGCTTCACTATGTTAGAAGAATGTTTTTACACTCCATTTATTTCAGAGTTCTTTCTTTATACTTGCACCCGGCTTTGCCTGTTAATGACATTAAATATGATGGCACTTATTGAAGCCTCATGTTTGTTCAGCCTGTCTCATAGTGAACCCAATATTGCAAATGCATTTTGGCGACGCAGCAGGAGGAAAGCCATTGCTGAGCAGCGCACAGCTAGCTCCAGGTACATCTGTAAATAATAGCATTTTTGTTCATCCACTATATCAATGATGTCTTCCTTTAGTTCAAAAGTTGAACTAAAATTTGACGAGTTTGTTGCCATTTCCATTTTCGACTTCATCACAAATTTTTCATGGTAAAATATTATACGTGCTGGATATATGTTTGATGTAACATTCCCCATACAATATCCTTGTTCTTATTCAATCTTTCAGTTTTTGACCAAAAAATACATTACAGAGATATTATTGGAATTTATCCATTCCAGATTTAGTATTACTGTGGAAATGATTATTAAGATAAAGCACATTAATTTTGTTGTTAGGAAAATCGTCATTAGTGGGGCCAGACCAACTAATATATGACGATAAAGGTAAAATGATCAAACTGCATTTTAGGGATGGAAGAAACCAGCTAGAAAGTTTTCTTTGGAAAAGGGAGTAATTGAAGTTTTGAAATTCTTCATGGATTGCACTGTGAGGAAAGAGAAGCACTCTAGCTCTCCAGCTGCCTTATGGATGAGGCCTCTTTTAAAAATACAAAATTGGAGAAAATAATAAATACAATACAAACAAACTTGTCATAAACTATATTTGTCAAAAAATAAAATGATTTCTTTGTTTGCTATTTTAGCAATTATCTTTCATATTTAATTAAAAACTGTATTGCTAAAATTAAAAGCTGCAATCAAGCGTTAATGATTTGTGAATAAAAGATTGATTACAAAATTTATAATTTATAATAAATCGAAAGCGGCCTTTTTGAATCTTGATGATCTTTATTTTATTAGAAAAGAATTAAAAATGGATGGAAACCTGCGAAAAATGTGTGATGAAGAGTTCTTGTTTGGAAAGTTTGATTAGAAAGAATATATATCTGATGCGATGTCGAAGTTAATGTTCTTGAGCTATGAATAAGCCGTCTTTTTTTTTGATGTGGAGCTTAGTAAGCAGTTGTAGTACAAATTTGCTTGAGTTTTCCTGATGTATATTCTACTTATCTGGGATAAGTTAATTGTAGGGCTGTTGCTCAAATCGACCTGGGCATTTATGAATTTGGAACATGGATTTCAATTTCTAAAAGGAGTATCTTTTAAAACATTATCCGGCAGTTGATTTTCAAGTGTTCTCAGATTTGCATGACCAGCACCATTGTTGGAGCTGCAAATTTCATAATATGACAGATATAGATTTCCTTGCCACAATAAGGTCTTTTGATGTCGAAACTCAAAACTTCACTTTCTTGTCGGGTTTTGATTTTTGGCTTTACTGTATAGTGTATATTGTAAGGCTGCGGCTTTACACTGAATGTTATCAAACTCGCTTGAAGCCTCTGCGTTTTGGCCTGAACGGAATCTCTTCGGTGCTTCGACCCCAGGGGAAGTCTTTGGGTATATTTAAAAAACTAAAAAAATAATTTTTTTTTAAAAGAATCTTTGTATGAAACTTCTGTGGTGCAAGAATGCAAGCATATTTCAAAGCAAGCAGCCAAGTTCTTCCGAAATTTGTTGCATAAGGTACCTATATTGTACAAGTGGCATGTCATATGATACTTTTAATGAACAAAGCTGTAAAGAAGCCAACTGAAAACTTGTACAATCATTAAAAACCACCAAAAATTTCAAAATATCGGTTGCTTTTGACCCAGCCAAGGGAGTTGTAAAACATTGAGAATAATACGTAGAAGGCAGCTATTTGCTTCACTTTGTTTCTTCTTGGGTGAAAAATCCGAAGCCTTCAGCCTCTTTGACCAAAGCAAGAGAAGTTGAAAAATGCTGTCATGCTAACGACACTGTTTAATCTTAGGTGACTTCTTGCTCTTCTAGATATGAGGTGACTTTGATTGGCGATATGAACAACATAAATAATATTCATATGCTGAAAGTAGTCAAGACAATTGCACACGGAACCATTAAACGACAGGTGTTACTGCAGGAGTCTTTAGGGATCACAAGGGTGAAGTGCTACGTACTCAGGGCCAGTAGGCCATTGCTTTGCAACTAAGGCAGAGGTCCTTATGTTATTAATTGGATTGTGAAGTTTGAAGTCTTGCTGGGACTCCATTTTAGTTTAGGGGGATCCGGGGACTGTCATTTCTTGGTCCAATGTAATGCAGACAGAGGTTAGACGACAGTTCTGAGGACATTTTGGGCATATCATTTTAAAAAAAAGATGAAATTTTGAATTTATAGTCCATGAGAACGATGATTTGCATACACATTTGGAGCAATGTTTTAAATTTGGCTTTGGTGCCTGCTTTAATTTTCTCTAGGAAGAGGCTTCAGTTTTTCAGCTACTTCGGTGAGGTCGTTGGGGTTTGTCTGTAGTCTACATAGGCCAATAGGCGACAAGACGAGGTAAAGTAGACTTGGGTGGGCTAGCCATGTGCAACTCAAACCCAATTTAATACCTGTTAGGAGGTGCGATTTGGTTTAAGTGGAAGGCTCTAAAAAGACAAAGGAAAGGTCCAATAGGATATGGATAGAAGTAGTGAGAAAAGATATGGGGACTTTGGTCTTACTTAGGTCAAATAAGAGCAAAAGTAGCAAAAAGCTACCTGCAATATAAGTTGTGCAAATTCTCCTCCTTTCATTTGATTGATTTCTTTTAGGAATATTTTTCTATCGCTGCCATGGACACTTCTTCGGATTTCAGCGCATGATCATTTGTTGGTTTCTGTCTTTGCCATGGACATTTCTCTTTGGACTACAGTAATTTGCTTTTACAAAACATGGTTATCATTGTTTTTAATCGATTTTTAGTTATTTATTCTCTTTTCAATGAGTCTTTTACTGGTTGACATAAACTCGTATTAAATCCTACAATAAACTTTATAAATCAATGCGCTCCATTTGATTTTAGTGTTGGGTTGTCAAGACTCTCTCTAGCCACATTAGTTTTCAATATGCTCTCTCTAACCAAAACACTCTAAACAACTGTTGGAATACATTCTGGTTTCAGATTCTCTTCAGCCCAAAGGCCTAGGGAATAGATTTAAAGGACCTAATTCTTCCTTTCCCAGAAGAGCTCACTCTGATCCTATAAGAACCCTATAGATCATGTATACCTGTGATACAAGTATGGAGTATGCATGCTTAGTTTTTATATCGTGCAATTTACCAAAGACATGCTTGCTGACAGTTCAGTTTATGCACATCAACTCAGGCTAAAGAATATGCATACAAAACACACATAATTATGTTTTATTTTCAGCTTTCAAGAGCACATATTTTCTTTCATGCATCAGATATTTGAAAAGGACTACTCAGGAAAAGTTGAGTATGATACATTCTTTTTTAAGAAAAGTAGACTCTATATATTTTGTTTTATATATGTAAGTAAATCAAAATAAGACTTCCCGTATGTTGGGTGCTCCTATACAAAAAATTACCCACAATTCAGGGGTCATACTCAAAAGGTTGGGGGCCCACTTGCCCTTAAATGAAACCATAAGAGATTCTTAGGGAGGATAAATGAAGAAACATGCAAGAAAGAGAGAGTGACGGAAGATTGACTGAAATTAGAAGAAAGAGGGGATAGAAGGTGAAAAGGAGAGAGGGAGGGGGTGGGGGGGGGGCGGGGGGTGTGGGGGGAGGGGCGAGGGAGGTGCTAGTTAGTGTCATTCAATCCCATGGGCCCCCCCTCGAACCTTCCTTAGCCAATGTGTTGTTAGCGTGGTTTGCCTCACCTACATATGTGGTGGATCATGACTTCACCGCCTTGCTTAAAATAGAGTATATGGTAAAAATTTGGAGTTAGATGCCAGAGGCACTCGGCTTTCTTAGAATCCCAAGCTATGGTGTTACTACTGTCCCCTTCTACCATGATTTGCATGGTGTGGAAGGAACTAGCTGAGACCCTTTTGTGGCCTTCTAGGAGGGCTTTCGACTTTGCTGTCGTTGAGTCAGTGTGGCCAATAGATTGTGAGAAAGAGAGAAGGGTCGTCCATATTTTTTGAGATAAGGTTAACATTGTATTACTGGGAAGTGATAATTACAAGATGTGAGAGTCCGAGAGCACCCACTTGGAATGTCTCTCGGTAAAAAATGCGTCAACCTGTCATGTACAAAAAATGGGCTTTTAGGATCCACCCGATTACAAAGATTTACATGAAGCTTTCAAAAAATAAACGAGGGCTAAAAGATGCCCAAATACATAGTGTCTATGTTGTGTGCATGTGGTCCATAACAAAAAAGGAGTCGGACCGGGTGTGCTCTTCTACTTAGCATATTGTCCTTATTGTTCCTTAGCATGCCCCCTATACCTGCGGGTCCTGGATTTCGTATAGAGCAGCCATCCGTGTTAAGCTAAGAAGTTATGGTGGTAGTTGAGTATGATATTTCTCCAAATAAACTTTAGTCTCACACATAGTTACCAGGATCTACTTTGGTAAGTGATCCCTTCTAGGATCTCGATTTTATTGCTCCTGTAATGGATATCTTAGGAATCTCGATTTTTAAATTTTGAGATCTCGATCCCCACAGATACGGATCCCGATTCCCGTTGTTAGGGATCTTGATCCCAACCTTAAAGACCAAAATAACAACCAAACTGATAATTTTCTTTGTTTATAGCCAGCTAGTAGCACAATTATACTTCTAATATAGTTTTTTTTTGATAAAGTGAACTGGTATTAACAAGAACAAGAGCGAACTAGAAAAGATAGGTGTAGCAGCCCCCACAAAAAATGGGTGCCACCTGGGCCCGTAGGCGAAGGTAAAAAATACCCTTGGAAAAACCAAAAAGGGGCCGCTATTGACAACAACACGTTGGCAAAGCAAAGACACAGAAGGGTTTATGAAGCACCCTGTTTCCATGTACGATGTATACAGAAAAAGCAAAAGGGTAAGAAAAAACAGTAGCCTGAAAGAGCCACAGGATTATTGAAGGCCTGTATGGTCAGAGAGGTCAGCTCCATCATTTGCCAATAGGTCCGCTAGAGTGTTGGACTCCCTGAATGTATGCGTCCATAAGACGCTGGTATCCCTGCATAAAGAATCAATCT